TCTTGATTTTATGGATGACATCCTCTGAAGACCCCCAAACTAGTGCGCGCCGGCGAAAAAAAATCCGGCCAAAAATAAAAATGCTGCTAAACCACAGGAATACAAAGCTGGTATTGTGAATTTGCTGCAGTACATCTATAGCGACGAAACACAAGCCGGCACATAGTATGCAAATGAGTATTATGCAAACTTTTGCATACGTGCCTATATTACTACATCTTCTTGTAAACCCTTGTATATTTCACGTACTATAAGCAGCAAGCTTCTGTATGTGACATTTTGGACCCCAGTCACTATGTTTTCGATCGAAATATTTGTGGTTTTAACGTCTGATTTAACGGTTCCGGTTGTCATTCCGAGTTTCATTACGAATTCCTGGCGACAGATTAAATAGAATTTCATAAGTTCATGGGTACATAAGCTGCAGATGAAAATGTTGACCTGTGTTAACACAACCTGGAACGCTAAATCTAACAGTAACACATAAAATTTAACACCATCAACTATTCGTAACAAACAACATATAAGAATATACAATAAAAAGCCCGGAGGTATAAAATCTCATATTTTACTTGTTCATTCTGGAATGAGGTTGACTTGTTTCTTAGGTTGCCCACAAGAACGTTATGTGATAGAGAGATATTTCTTACTAGTTAAAGTTTATATTGCTTGGCTCTTTTTACCTCTGTCTATTTTGATGCCATTGAATGGCTAATAAACTTGTTTACCGGAAGATTTATACTATTTTAGACAGAAGTATAGAGGCAAAGTTTTAGAACAATATATCTTATTAGCTTTGTTCAGGTGCGTGTACACGTGTATAAAAAAGTTTTGATATAATGATAATCATTATGTTGTTGTACATTTTGGTTGAATGGTCTCTAGATAGTGCGAGCATCGATAAATCGTCGACCGTAACTCGAGCGGCATACACCCGTGTGTCGAGCGAGTTTCGGCCGACTCCCGTTTGGTAAAAGGTAATCTTTATGTTAACCAGACGGTTGTGTAAATTTGTGGCTCTTGTGGTAGTATTTGATCTTTCACAGAATTCCTGTTTATATTTCTATTTTATTCTGCCAGTCCGCTCCATTACTTTGCTAAAAATATTACGACAGGTCAAGCATAAAAATTGGCCAAACTATTCATTTTTAGGTGGATACACTGGCCTTGCTTCATCTGCTTGCCATGTCATAGGGAATTCATTATCATAGATGTAGGGAAACAATCCGATTCATCTACATGTATGTCATCATCTAACCGCCCCATTCTTATCCGACTTAGTAACTACAATGACAAGTTAGATATTATATACCATTCCAAAACACTAGCTAACCAAAACATAACAGTAGTCCAGCCTACTATTTCTTACGAGATTTCCGACTTAGAATACGTTCTGCTAAACTTCTGTAAGATACTTCTCCGCGTCCCTAAAATTTCAGTTAACGCTGCTGTAAGGGGCGAATTAGGCGTATTCCCACTGCACATAGATATCCAGACGCAACTGATCAAATATTGGATAAGACTAAACAACCTCCCTGAAGACAGAATAGTTAAGAAAGCATATCACGAAGCCGTTATACAAGAGCAGGACTGGGTAGTCCATGTACGAGACACACTATGTAGACATGGTTTCCAAAATATTTGGTTGAACCCCATTACAGATGACAAATATTTCGGATTTATTTTCAAAGAGCGCCTTAAGGACGGATCTCTATCTGGCTGGAGACAAAAGATAAATTTTTATAGCTTTAAAAAAACTTGAAACATACTCAAAAATAAAAAGGAACTTTCACATCGAGAACTATCTTCTATCTGTTCAAAACAAATCCTTTATAGTTAATACCACAAAATTAAGAATCGGAGCACACTGCCTAGAGATTGAAAAAGGCAGACACAACAATATACCAGCCAGTCAGAGATTATGTCCTACGTGTAAAGATGGAGTTGAAGACGAATATCATTTTCTGATGACATGCCCCACATACGACGAAGAGAGACGCAAATTAATGCAGATGATCCGATGTAAGACTACTAAAACATTACCCAACACATCTAGAGAGACGTTCTATGTACTTATGTCATGTCCAGACACATTTTCTGTATATATAGGTCAGTACATTTATAATGCCATGCAAAAAAGACATCTTAGAATAGCTGCATAAGTAGAGTCACTGAACTTTTTTTAATCAACTTCCTGTGTAGCGTTTCGTAGCATTTATATGTAGAATTTTATCATTCCTGACAAGTAACTTAGTATACACTCTGTTTAGTAGCAATAGAACATGTTAAGTATTATTAGGTACAACTGCTCACTGTACCCTTCATGTATATAGTTTAGCGTAATGTAGAATGTACATGTAGAGTCGAAATATTCTATGGCCAGCAGTTCTTTATAATACTCTGTCAGATACAATGTCCGTTGACCATATGTATAGCATTATGTTAGACACATACCAACTAGTAATCTTATTATTTGCCATACATTGTACCCGTGACAATCGTTGTGCAATAAACTTTGACTTGACTTTGACTTGTATTCCCAAGCGATCGCCCGAGCCTCGCACAATGTGACAGCGACGATTTACAAGCCAAAAATACGCGCGATTGTCGGTCGATCACAAAATCGGCCGATCTTTCGGCGATTGACAAATACGGCCGAAGCTCGTCAACAATGTGACAGGGGCATTACGATAACTTCCTGTTTCTACAACACCCAGTGGAGATCACTGATGGAAATGAACAAAACGCCATGTACGTTTGACAACGCGGGCAAAAAGGCAAGTTTAGTGTGTTTGTCTCACCTGTTTCGTCTGCAAAGGTGACCACAGCCTGCCCATGCCCCAGTAATTTCACCCTGGTGACGGCCCCGCCAGCTGACAGGTTCCCGCTCTGGAAGTAGCCTGTGACTTTGTCCTGTAGTCCGCCCAGCTCGGGCAGGCCGCGGACATGAACAGGCCGAGTGGAAGAGGACATTTTGTCCCCCTCTCAGCCAAGGAACCTTGCAAACCCGGAAGTAACTTTCACACACCTGAAATTATTGATATAACGGGAGTTAACAGTACAGCCCTTATTTTGAGCGTCCTAGTTTCGACTGATAGTCACACAGTAACACAGCATAGCCGCCTAAATGTGAAAGTAAATTAAACGCTCTCTGTACAGCTTTGTTTACACAATCCCCCTAGTAACTGGAAAGTCCCGACCTTAAGTCACAACCTTACGTCATCAGTCTCATCACCACACCAGTTCCGAAAGTACGAAGGGTAACGTCCTCTGGGGACACCACACCCAGGTATGACAATTTGTAGGCGACGTTAGGTTACTTAAATTATCCACAAAAGACGTCATTTAAAAACATTGAACATTCGTAGGTGTAAGTAGGGTTCTATACAAACCAGAACGTAAATACAGTCAAAGGCCGGTTATGAATAATATGAATCAGGTAGCATTAGCCCCCTAGTCTTAATGTTTAGTAATGAGAAAGGGGTACAACGTCCGTCGTGTTTGATCATGATAAACCTGACATAAACATGACATTATCCGACAAAGTTACTTGTTGCAACGTACGTTTTTAATAGAGTCCCTGATCACCCATCGGTGGAAACGAACAAGGGGGTTAACGTTAATCGTTTTCATTGTTATCTTCGGCGCGAGCCAGTCAAACATAATCAATTGTGACATATATTTTGAGAAATGAAGCTCATACGTTACACCGCAATGTGCAAAACATGACCTCGCTATAGCGCAACAGTCAGAATGCAAATAGGGCTGTTTTCAAATTTCCCCACTATGATAACTTAAGCTATGTCCTAAATTCTGTGTAGCCAGCTTGGCTCAACTTGGGCTTCCCGAACAAATAGCATATAACACCGTACATTGCTACAAATACATGTACATCTGCTTGCTAATTGCTTATTTCAAGTAAGCCGTTTTTAAAGATATAGAGTGTTCACCATTTCTGTGAGCAAGGCGTCTATGCGGTGATGTCCTTGTTGTGAGCTACACTTCGATACCAGTTCATACAATGGCATGTAAAATTAGATTTACTAGTTTGTAATAATTTCTCCACTTCTAAAGTGTCACTTCATTTGGGGGCAGAGGCATTATATTGTGTCACTGTTTTACTTTCATGCGTTCTGTGCACTGCATTCCTTAGAATCTGAGGACCAGAAGTAACAGACCTGGGGTGGTCCAGGTTTATTGCTGTTTTATGGGCAAAGCCCTATCTCTTCCTTTATTCTGCACTACTTAACTTTAAAAATCATTGTATAACGGAAAAACAGTCAGTAGGAGTTGTTTATTCATAGCTCTTCCCTCTCACACTTTAAAATACATTTTCCACTCCATTTATCTGTAGGTCTTTGTCACCATGAAATGGCCTGATCACTGCTAAATATGGCAAATTAAGTTGGGTGCAATTCTATGGAATTAAGGGCCAAATAGCACTGGCTCAGCTTCATTGCCATGTTACATTCGATAATAAATGGGCATTTGGGTATTTCCTTGTGCTGGACCCTTTACTGTCATATCACAATGTGTATAGACTTCCCTATGTAGTTTTCCAATCAAACTTCAGACAAGTCAAGTTAGATATATATCTGTATCTGTATAGCCGGTATAACCGCCTTTCGGCGTAACACACCAGCTAATAATTGCATAGTTTAACAGTAATGCCAGCAAATCCATCCATATGGCACTGTAACGTTGCTTATTACATGCTGTAGCCAGCAATCTATTCATGCACATTGAAACTAACACCTTAACATTTGAAAGATTAGAGGCATTTTAAATCACATTTGTTACTGCCATCTGCCTACTGAAATATTTGGAATTGTATTTTCATTTTGGAAAAAGGTTCAAATTTGGTATGATTCCATAACGGGACACTACTAAGATATTAATAACCCATTGAATGTATTGTTGGGGGATTTATCAAGTGAAACACCAGTCATTGCTAATCTCATCATTCTATTAGACAAAATACATATTTTTAAAAACCGGGAGATATCGAATCTATCCATCCACACGTTTATTGCCTTCGTTAGATATGCATACAGAATTGAGAAAATATTGCGACAGCTAAAATCAAAATATGTAAACACAACAAAAAGTGGAAACCTTTATACCGTTTTGTATTGTCACTGATTACTACCACATGTATCTGTCTGTCAATGTATGTACACCTGCATGTTCTTGTTTAAGATTGATTTTTTATGCTTTGTATATCTAAATATTAATAAAGTTTGAAATAAAAAGAAAAGTTTGAAAAAATCTTTTTAAAAAGTGCCTATGCCTCATTATATGATAAGGATGGGTATAAGTTGCTATGACAAAAAAAATCAAATGATTATTGCATACATGTATATCATTCTTCTTCAGCAAATTACACATGTGAACCATCATAAATGTGTCTGGTTTGTGTTTGCGATTGTATCAGATGGTAGTTACATCTTATTCTGATTGTCATATTTTCACCATCAAAATACAAAAAAATACTTCAGCAACATATCTTATTTATCCTGATGGTGTAGCTGTTAACAAGAAACTGATATTTCAATACTGTAACAAGTTAAGCAAATGCATTGTGGATATCTTTGTGTCTGCGTGTGTTTGTGAGTTTATGTGTGTGTGTGTGTGTGTGTGTGTGTGTGTGTGTGTGTGTGTGTGCGTGTGTGTGTGCTACTACTTACCATTATTATCCATTTCACTGATGAGTACAATGCAATGTACAAAGTGCAATTATGTAATACCTACAATGCAAACTTACCCAAACAACAACTTCCGAGACAAATTGTTGCACGTTGAATACTAGTAAATGCATTCTATAAATGTATGCTTATTAGTTAAGACGGTATTTCCTGCACTGGCAAGGACTAATCTATCATTAAAAGCTATAAAACAATACTAAGATATCTTTAAAACACAGTTGATGCACAATAAAGAATTCGATTTGATATTTATCAATTACTACTACAAGATGTGTGATTCTGATCACAATATTTTCCTTCCTTTACATGTAGGTATTAAGCACCTAAAGACCTTGGTTGTTTAGAATTGTCACATTTGGCATTATCATATCATGAATGCATCATCCTGTCTGATCAAATTATAGCACTGAAAAAAGTTTCCACTACAAGGCTGAATGGGAATTTTAAAAAAAAATTGATCCTCCTTTCATTTATGACATCTTGAATGTGATAAGGTATTCTGGATAAGCCTGTACATCATGAAAGATCACAAACACAGTGGGATTGTTCACATCATTCACAGTTGAGTCAAAGGGGACGTTAGGCTTATCACTCCTCATTGGAGCTTTAGTCATGTCTGCAGCCCCCTTGGTGTATTCTCCAGTTGTGACCTTGCACAGGAACATTTTCTTGTGTTTGGTGGTTGGGTCTGGTACAGAGTAGTAGTCCTTTGTGGAGTAAGCTGCTTTCAGGGCAAAGTATGAACCCTGACCTTCCCAACATCCTGTGGAGAAAATAAAAGGAAATAGATAAGTCAGAAATTGAAGTTACATTTCAATATTCAAACATAGTCAGAGATATACATTTTAGTAAGGCATTTTAAAGATAATTATCATGTTAATTAAACCATTTGGATAAAGGTGTTTCCTCAAGTAGTGTCTTTGCCCCTTTTCTTTCAAGCACTCACTGTCCTTGAATACCTGATGTCAGCTACAAAGTATTAAGTTAGTTACAACATGGAAAGGAAAAGTAAGTAACTCATGAAGGATCACGTACCAACATTTCCTCCACTGTAGCTCCTGTTGAAGCCATTATGAGTGATTACCTCAGTAACTTCCTTCTTAGTCCCATGCCACAGTTCTTGCTCCACTGCCCTGTAAGACCAATCATCTTAATTAATTGAGCCTTAATCTAGACCTCAGGAATTTTAGATGAAACAGGTACTTGTCTCCTTGGTAAACCTGGTGTGTTCATTGGCAATGAATGTTCAGACAAAGTTGGAAAGACCCCTTGCTGTAAGAAACTTCTATGAGAAAATATTACACAGCAAAATGTCTCGGAGCCAAGTTTCTTCTTCAAAATATTACGTGTGTTTTTTGGAATCTGTATGGTAGAAAGATATCAAATGTAAATCATGATGTCATTTCAAGGTCTTAGGTTACGAATGTGATCAATCAATAATGTAATCAACATATTCGTACCTTCTCGGGTTGATTTGCGCAACTTTCTGTCGTTGAGCACAGTAATGTCTCCACAGGGTAGGGTTCTGGACCCTCTCAATGCTCACTACCGTTGCCCTCATCCCCTGTAGACTGTTGGTGAACTTCCCTGCCACTATGCAGTACTCCTGGGAGCCAGACTTCAGGGGAACGATGTGGCAGAGTTTGAGTTGCTTTGTACTTCGGTCCTGTGGCTGTGGGTCCCATGTTGAAGGCAAAGCGCCACCTGTTTATTTAAATACAAAATCATTGTTAACTGAAGTAGTGGTTAGCAACCCTGCTTCGGAATGTAGAGTTTGGGAGTCAGGTCTTGGCTGTAATCACTCACCTGACATGCATGCTATTGGAAAGGGTTGCAGTCCTTAGGATGGGACAATAAGCCATGATCCACTGATCATTGTACTTGTCGGGAAATTCTCTGGTACAATATGTCCATAGACATTATAGTGCCTGCCTTCTCTGTCATAACTAGTGCTATAGATTGAAGATTCAGGCTAACTAATCAATTTATCTATCAAAAGACAATATTTCTATGAAGTGAAGACTAGATAAAAATCAATGCACATACAGATATAACCCATAAATTCAAGCTTGTGAACAATCCACACCAATTTGATTTGTTGGTTTCTGATTTTTAAAAAATGAAGCACCAGGACAAAAAAACAGACCCAGGCATCCTGTGATAGGGGCCATTATGTCAACATACTAGGGTGGTGTAGAATTCAAACAATGAATTCTGAATTCGGAATTTTGAAGTTTTAATCAAACATCTGCATTGATAAATGGAAAAAAACTATAACAAATAGGAAGACAAGGGCCTTTAAGGACTTCTCTCCAACTATTTGGGTCAAAATATTAACATTTTGGAGTTGATTCACCACTTGTTTTTTTCTGCAAGTCAGAGAAAAATAAAGCAGACGAGTTCAAGATGTGTAGTTTTTTTTTTAATTTTTAAGTTTGAAGTAAACTTAAAAGTTTATTTCAAACTCTATTGCATCCAAGGAAGACTTGATACAAACTTACCCACGTCTGCCTTCTTGTCTCTCCTCTGTACAGGGAAGGACCTTTTGGACTGTTTCAGGGTGACTCTCATGGCCTTGAAGTCAATCTCACAATCCTCATTCTCATCATCGTATTTTACAGAACTCTTCTTTGCTTTGTATGCAGCCTCGATGATGGCATTTGCGGCTGGGTGAATTTTTTGCTCCCTACCTTGAGTTACAACATAGCTCCTGAGGAAACATAGTAACTGTTACATAAAATGGCTGATCAATGTTTCGTCAATTTGCTTACATGTAGGTAAGGAATAACAACTGAATGATAGATTGGCAATAACTAAAATTCGCTGTAAATCTCTAAAGTAACACACACACATACTGTGGCCAATAGCTGCCAAGTCTTGAGATCTAATCTTAAGGATATAGTGAAGGAATGTCTTAAACTGCCACCATTACCGCTAACGACAAGTTAAGAAATACCAAAAAAAGTAATTGCTCGCAAACCAATTTTGTATCCAGGCAGTTTCATCTATAATGCAGCAAACCCATGTCAGTACTACTGAGCTTTTTGGCAAACTATATTTACTAGTATAGAATGGAAATAAGTGGTAGATATACAGAACTTACCACCGTGCATCCTTCTGGACCGAATGTGCTTTTCCCCAGTCCCTTCTTTGCTCCTCCACCTTAGTATTCAGGACTGTCCAAATTCTCTTCAAGACCTCAGTGACATCGTAAATCGCACCTTGGATGAGAAGGCAGTCAACACCACTTCCTGCAATATAAAAATCCATTGAAATTAACTTAACGTCATGAAATATTCCTCCTGTTCTACGTATGGAAACGAGAAAAGGGAATAGAACGAACTTGAGCCTGGTGCGGCGGAGGCGGGGTCTCTCACAAATCTGAACTGGCGAGGACCCTGCTGCATTGATCCACCCAATCATGTCTTGTATATATGTAAACATTACTAAGGCACTAATGCACTTGTCAGGTCTTTAGCACACATAAAATAAGTTGTTTTATGTTCCCTTCTCGGTTATTCTTTTTCCCTTTGTTTTTCATGTACCGGTTCACAATCACACGTGTCACAATTGTAACTAACAAAGCGCAACGGCTACCAATAATCCTACACTGTTGAGCTGGGCAGTAATGAAGAAGAAAAGAGGACAAAGCAAGGCACCTGGTTCCCAAAGACAATGTACTAGGCAGGCTTACACCATTGCAATGCGGCCGCGCTACACTATCGCAATTTATCAAGTATACTGCATCGCTCCTACTCTTCTCAATAATTATGTTGCATTCTTGATGCTTAAGGCTAAGCTGCCTCTCACAAGGGGCTGCCAGCTTTATGTCACCATTCAAAATGACAAAATCCCTCACATGTCCGAGCCGATTCTGGGATCACTTCCTACGGATCAACAGAATTTGATCCATACATGTATACATGACCAAGTGACGTGAAGGTGTTGCATCACCGCTTCTGGCACAGAAATACATCATAGGTATTTTGTGTTTCTTCCAAGGTTCACCCTTCATGGAAGGTACTCATCAGTTCAGTTGGGCGACATTGGCCGTATGTCAGCCAAACAGACAAATAGAACAATACAAATGCGAATTTCATGTACTTCTGCCACAAAGTCTTAGCCACTAAAGGCGGCGTATGGAGTGACCGGCTGAATAAATGTTATAAACGAGAACCATGTGGCTGAAGAGATGTCATTAATGAGGAATATGACTGCGCATGCGGTACAAAAGATGTTGGTCAGCTGAAGAACGATTCCCCTGATAACTATAGCCCACCTTGCTTGACCACGACGTCCCTGTCTTCACCGTAGGTATGGATCATCCTGGCCTCCTCTGCTGTCAGCATGGTGATAGCAGGGTTCTGAATCTTCTGCTCCTGACAGTTCTTCACCACGATGCTGTCCACAGCCTTCCTGGCCCTGTCTATCCTGTCCTGGTCAGGTCCAAACAGGTGCAGCGTCAGTTCTCTTGGAGTAGACACCGGGAAGGATGTGTCCCCTGCAGGTTTCGGTGCAGAATACCGCCTGCTGACTGAAACTTGGGAACTGTAGCTGACGCTGTAGTACTGTAAGAAATGGATACAGTTATTTAAACATTAGCATTGATTTTGCCTTCTCCCTGCTGCCTAACCACCTACAGTAACCTTCAGTGTGATGAAGCAATTTCGGCACCAAGGACAAAAGCTGGTAATCAGTCAATTGTTGAGAAACAAGAAGTCACAGACATGATTGCACAAAATTTTAATTCCAATCGCCATGGAAGCTTCAGAATATGTCTGAGGAAATAAATATGTCTAAGATAGCTTTAAACAATGTTTATTAGGGTTAGATGATCAAGGGTTAGGTGTAACAAGTCGATCGGTGTAATGTAGCCAGCTGCCGCCGCGCCGCGTGCCTGTGAAGCTGGTGTGTTACGCCGAAAGGCGGTTATACCGTCTATACATGTACAGGTCCAATGGTTTCCCACTCCATGTGGAGTTAAACAGGGGGAAGTATTGTCACCTACATTATTTCATTATATGTTAACGATCTGGCAAAGCTGGTAAAGCAATCTGATATCGGAGTTATTCTACTGTATGCAGATGACATTGTTCTCATTGCTGAGACTGAGGCCCAACTACAGAAAATGTTTTACATTTGTATCTAAGTGGTGCTCAGAATGAAGACTGATGATCAATCAGTCTAAAACCCAAATTATGCATTTCGAAAACGTGGTATAAAGCAAAGCTCCTATGAATTTATGTTTGGAAAGATGAAACTGGACTATACGAGCTCTTACAACTACTTGGACCTCCACTTAGATGAACATTTGGTTTTTAAAAACTACGACAAAAGTTTGGTCATACAAAATAGGGCCATCCGCTGTTTTCTCGGTGTTCCTCGCTTCGCACCCACTTCTGCTATAAACGGTGGCATGGGCTGGGTCCCATGTAAGGTTAGGTGGAAGGGAGCGATGGTGGCACTGTGGAACAGACTTGTTGGTATGCCTGTGATGACCAGCCTGAATACCAGCCGGATTTTCGCTACGCAACGCTTGATTTTTTCGAGCGTTGTGTCCGGATCCGGATGGTACCCAGGCTATGTGATGACAGGATTACAAAGAAGGTTTTCAAGTGGGACCCACGTAATGAAGGCCCGGGCCCATGGGGCAAAAATATATATGAAATATTTTGTGATTCAGAACATGAATATGTCTTTTTAAGTAGGATCAGAGGCAACACTAGACATATTAAAGACATACTGTTCTTCCAATATGAACAAAACTGGTCCTCAGGGCTATGGCTTAAACCAAAGCATAGAACGTATGCTCTGATCAAAGATACTTTCGCCCAAGAAAAGTATGTCACTCTCCCTCTTTCAAGATCCCAGAGATCTCCGTGTGCTCAGTTAAGAGCCGGGATTCCCCCCCCCCTGAATATAGAAACAGGACGATATTCTGCTATTCCTGAAGGGGATAGAATTTGCTCATTGTGTGATTTACGTGAAATAGAGAATGAGATTCACTTCAAATTTTATTGCCCTTTTACGACAATCTTCGCCAAACACTATTTGAGAAAACGTACATAAAGAAACCCAATATCATCTGGGAAAGAGATGAAGCAAAACTAGACTGGTTATTTAATGTGTGTGTTTTTGTAATTGCATTATATATTCATCAAGCTTGGGAAAAACGTAGAAACTTCACTTAGTCATAAATTTCTCCTTTGTTTTTCTTTTTCGCGGATTCGTTTACATGTTTAAGTTTATTTGACTTTATGTACTTCTGAGTTGCATTTATGTACTTTTGACAATTTGAGTTGACTTTGTGCACTTTTGACTCTTATGTACCGATTATGTTATGTTCAACTTTGTATTAAGTTCATTTGATGTCTCAAGTCTGACCTTTTATTTTGGACTTGGATGTATGTTTCTATGATTTCTGTACCTATGTTTATGTTCATGTTTAATTGTTCTGGTGTCTTATAAGTCCATATGGACTGGGCGACAAAAGTCGCAAGACAAATTCATTCATTGGTGCAGATACAGAAATAACAGTGGTGCAGCAATGTATTATAATGGCATATGGGATAACATATATATGGGATAATTGTATGATGAAGGTTAGATGTCTTTGGTAAAAACATACAGTTAAAAATAAATCAAACAGCTGGATAAATCTTGTCTTTCATCAATGAATAAGCTGGGACGCAAGGTAGTGGACGCTGCCTGAAATATTTGACCCCTTAAAGAATCTAACGAGTACATGAAGCTTGATCTATTTTGAATGACGCCATGTGAGGTAGTCTTACTGTGTTTGGTCCTCCTCTCCCTCGTGAAGGAACATCGGGGATAATCAGACAACGGTTTTCTCGTCCTGCAACATCCAGCAGGGCTCGACCTGTTTCACCTGTCAAGAACTTGTACATTCCTGCAGGTTGGATGATACTAGTAGTTAAAAGATGTTGGATTTGATAGCAAAAACAGAACAGGAAATGGTTGAATACAGGAAAACATTCACATCATATAGCAATACATTATACACTGACCCTTTATCAATGCAGATGCACTTAACCTACTATATAAAATGTGGTACAAAACCTTAAAAAACAACTACAACTTAAGATTGCAATCTCGTGTTTTACTAACCCCTCGAACAGATATCAGCAACCATTAGACAAATTAATTGAACATATAATCTACAAACCTGGTTTCGTGATCTCCTTGCTGACTTTCTTCACGTCAGTCACTAGTTTTTCCAACTTCTTCTTTGCCTCTTGTGTCCCGTCTTTCGTCCCTGTGATGGAGAATCCACCAGTTGCCCTGCTTGTGATCTTCACTGCCTGTTCCATGTGCTGCCTCTCCACTTCTGCGATGTCGTCCTTCTTGTACTCCTGTAGAAACTTCGTACAGCCTTCACTGGTGTCCACACTCACCGTGATAATAGTGTTAGTGGAGATGTACTTTCCGATATCTTCTTTCACAGTAGCCACGTCATGTGGAGGACCGACGATCCACACATTCTTCTTGCCGAGGTGGATACAGATGAGATGCTTTCCTTGAAGACTCTTAAAGAGCAATGTGGCCTCCTTGGACTTCAAGACTTCAACAGAGTCTGCATCAAACGGGATGGTTGACTCCGACACACACTGTGTCATCACCCTTTTTGCCTTTTCTAAGTCCTCACTCTTTAGCGCAAAAAGCTTGACTGTCTCCTCTTCAACACCGAAGGCTACTTTCAACTGGTTTCCCTGCAAGCAGCCTTCGAAGTGCATCCTTCCCTTCTCTGTTTTCAGAAATGCCGCGACGCCGCTGGAGACTTTTACCCTCTCTTCTGCCGGATACTGCGTCGTCTCGTACACGTGGAGTTTTGCCGTCATCACTGCGCGATCGTCTCCCGTCAGCTTCACCTCTTTGTGCTCCATGTCGATCTTCATGTCCACTTCAGGATGGGACGCCGCGAAGTCACTGAGAAGAAGAAGCTTGAGTTTGTTTCTATCAAGCTTAATAGTCGCCGTGACACTTGGAGCCTTCTCTCTTGCCTTCATCTCAGCCTTTGCAATCTCCTGCATACCCTTGAGCGATACATACAATGCATCAATGTATAGAATAAAACGAATTTAATTATCTCTGTGTTAATTTTCAAACTTGACCTTAAATACCATTTGCTATCCAACCCCAATCACATTTAAATATTTATGTCTACATATGCACTTTTTAAAAAGTTAGTTGTATTTCTGTTTACATCTCAACTGTTTCATTATTCATACACACATGACACACACATAAATACACACACAAACACACACACATACACATACAAATCACACAAACACACACACACACACATACACACACACTAACACACGCAGACACACAAACACAAACACACACACATACATACACACACAAACACACACACATATACATACACACACTAACACACACAGGGACACTAACACACACAGATACACAAACGCACATACAAATACAGACACACTTGTAAGGGGTCAGGGACCGAGTCAAAGGTCCCCGGACTATCCTCTATCGCTGTGATGGTCCCGAGGGTAAGACAGGAGCCTCCAAAGTTCGTTCGGATGGTTTATTGACACAATCTCAGCAAGTCACAGTAGGCGAGGGATGAGTGGCAGATGAATTGGGATGGGAAACTCCCTTATCAGCCCCACGGAGTGCCCGGGGAAGCCCCTAAGTGGAAGCCGGCTTGGCCCTCAGAGTAAAGTTCGGCGTCCGAGAGAGGAGGTGTTCGCCAAGTCGCCAAGGGTTCCCCATACTCTGGACTCCGCGGCAGCCGTTGTTGGCGACGCCTCAGGGGGGAGCCTAATGGCACAGTATTGTGTGTAGTTTGCAAGAATTCTAGGAATTGCACAGGCATTTTTTTCCACAGGCATGGCATGTCTACAGGCATGTTGATGGCACACTTTTATGGACACATTCCTACGTAGTCCTAAATTCTTGCCCACATACCCACATGCCTTTCAAGTGGAAGTTTTACATTCTTCCCACATTTCTTCCCACATGCCTTCCAAGTGGATGTCTTAGCATTCCAAGTGGAAGTCCTACATTCTTGCTCACATTCCTGTCCCACATGCCTTCCAAGTGAATGAACTACAAACTCCTAAAACATTTTAGAATTACTTCTGTGAGTACAGTCGATAGTGTTTAGATGTGCTGTTGTAGTACCAGGTAGCCGCTTGTGTTGAGTGTCCGTTGGATAGGTAAGTTTGCCATATACATTATCTATGTCTAGTTGTCAAGGTCGTGATTTGGAGTTAGTTTTTTTTAAGTTGCCAACACTAGTCAAAGAAGTTGCCAACACTAGTCAAAGTGTGTGTGTTGTTTTAGGATCTGTTATGACAATAGACAATAGCATTTTAAGGAGGGCCCCGCATGCCCATTTTCCGTAGAGTGTAATTGACTGTTTTAATTCTACGACTGTAACCGGGCCGATCTATTAACGCGTGTCCTGGATGGTAAGTTTGCCATGTTCAATGATGAATCCTATGATGAATTCTACGTAAGTCAGCACAAGACATAGACTTTAATAAATGTATCTTAAATGTTAATATAATTTATAGAGACCATGCGCGTTTTTTGTGTAAATACTACTCTACTGGAATTTGGAAAATGACCCACGCTGTCTTTCCACCAAGCTTCTATTGAGTCGCATGGTTGGGATACATTCAAGTTGATATTTATAAGTTCAAAAAATCGGCGAGTACAGTATTATCATGTGACCCGTTTCTAGCAAACTAGCGCATTTGAAGCTTGCGTTGTGTATAGACTATTGCACATATTAGATGTTTTGTGCTACCGTTTTACAAGAAGTTCTAAATATAACAACTCTTCATGAATGGAAAGGATTGTTCATATAAATTTCTATTTCATTACAAATTCAAACTGTTGACACGGAGATCAGTTAGCTAGGATAGGTATATCGCGAAGTTAACTCCTCACGAACATAAATGCACTTACATATATGTTGTACACATCAGAGGTTGACATTGATAGGTTGTTGATGTTGGTTGGCATAACCAAATATATTGACTAGATCAATTTTGTTATAGGACAATGTAGAAGTACACATGTATTTTAGAGTTTTTTTATGCATGCAGTCCTAAGTATGCCGTAAAATTAATCATGTATGATATATGACAATACATCTGCATACTATCTACACCAGAGAGAGATTTGTACTTCTGTAAGACCATCGACACAGGTGTTTTATACGGCTTTATTTAGCCTTAAATGGATTTCCTGTTACATTACCTTAAGTTTGCCTGGCCATAGGGTGCTTGCGGGAGGCCTCCGGTTAGAAAAAATACCACCCAAAAACGACAACTGCAAGGGGTCATTCGCACCTTCTGCCATGTGATGACTTTTTGAAAACTAGTAGAAGGGAAACCTTTTTTCAGGCCCAAGATCATCAGTTTTGGCTTGCACAATAATTCCTCTCCGGCTGTCACACAGTCCTATGTGAACTATTTCCGCCCAGAACGTTGGTCCTCTGCGTGCCCAGTTCCATTTTCTTAGCCACCTCAGCAATATATCCTGTAACTGTCAAGTCCAGTCCGTGAAACGCGGGTGGTCGTCTTTAAATTGTAGGTTACTCAGATGTGTTGTTGCCATTTACGATTTAAGCGCTTAGTGGTGGTGGTTTCTCCTGATGAGAACAACAACGTTTCATTCGGGAGCTGTTCGATTTGGAACAACGTGGAATTTGTACAATGCCTGCCCTTCGTCATGCGCTGAAAACCGGTGGGACATATAGTGGTATGGTTGCTATGCCTGCATTCTTAACATGCGCTGTAAACCCTAGGGATTTGTGGCATGTCGTCAATGCCTGTCTGCACATGCGCTGAAGTCTTATGGATGTCCTACTTTCTGGCCCTCATTCCCACATGTCTTCCAAGTGGATGTTTTACATTCTTGACATTCCCACATGCCTTCCAAGTGGAAGTTTTACATTCTTGCTTCCATGCATTCGCACATGCCTTACAACATTCCTTCCAAGTGGAAGTCTTCAAGCCTTCCAAGTGGAAGTCCTACATTTTTGCTCACATTCCTTTCCCACATGCCTTCCAGGTGAATAAACTACAACCTCTAAAGACATTTTAGAATTACTTCTGTGAGTAAAGTCGATCACATTGTGAATCTGAACATGTTGGGGAAATGCTGAGAAGGAGACTTACAGATATGCACTGATCTGATGATGTCTTCGAAGCTTCTACAGTTTTCAAAAGGGAAGTCAAACCCTTCAGACATAGTTTTAGACATAGCTACAATTTTAGACAACTACCTTTCATCATGTAGATTTTAGTTATTTTATATACTGTTCTTCAATGTCCTTTTATGTTTGTAACTGACGATTAGCCTCTGGGCATGAATTTGCAATAAACTTCTCAATTATTATAATAGAAGAGAAAGATATCATAATAATAGTACCTGTTTAAATGCAGCAGAGCTCAGAAGACTGTCGGTACAGATTCACAAGAATTTTTAGTCTTGTGAATCTGTACCGACTTCATGAACATCATGGGAGTCTTGTCAATCTGTACAATTTCCACAATGTCCCAAGGGTTTCCTGGAATTTCACTAGGTAGGAATTGTATGTCAAGTGTATGTCCCACATTCTAGCCACATTCCCCACATGCCGTACCCAGTGAATGGTTAGCATTTTGTCCACAGGCATGCGGAATGTCCACAGGCATTTCTCTGACCCACATCTATG